ATTTTGAAAGTTCTATGTTATCGGACAATGGAAGCATACCACAATGAAAAGAAGTACTAAAAACAGGGAATTGATGTATTCCCCATGTAAAAAAATTAGGCGAATAATCAGATTAAAATCGATTAAAACAGGATTAAAAATCGATTATAATCAAAAATAATCCAACAAGCCTACTGTTCATCGATTATTTTTATTATTTTCGATTATAATTAATTAAAAGGTTGTGAAAAAAAATCGATGAAAATCTAAGAAAATTTATTAAAAATTTTGCCATTTACTATGAACGAAAATCGATTATAATAAAAAATAATTGAAATAATTGATAAAAATTAGTTTTTTTTGAATTATTTTTGATTATAATTGATTCGTAATCGATTTTAATCTGATTATTTATCTAATTTTTTTACATGGGGAATACATCAATTCCCTGTTTTTAGTACTTCTTTTCATTGTGGTATGCTTCCATTGTCCGATAACATAGAACTTTCAAAATAATGTGCTCGCATTTCTTTTTTGACTTGTAGTTCAACCTCTCTATTTTTTGAAAAATCGTTAGCATTTACTTCGTACAGTATACTTCTCTGTAGGATATAATATTCTTTTAGTGAATATGATTGAACATGGAGTTTACTAAACTTAATTTACTTTGCATCTATTGTATTTTCACCTTTCCCATGTTTCATTTTTTTTTCTTTTGATTTTTTGCATGTAGAAAACCATTTTTTAAATTTTATTTCAAGATCATCAATATAATTGTTTATTTTTTCTTCAAAAAATAACATGTCAAGACGTTCACCAATCATGGATGACAAGTTAATTTCCGAGATGATTCTTACAAATATAGCAACAGCATCACAAATGAATATTGAAATGTCGGATATTTTAAATATGCAACAAATGAAAATAATGACCACTTGTGAGGAAGTATATAATTATCAACCTTATTGATCTTTTTTTTTTGTCATTAGGGATAATGTCGCATTTTTCCCAAGGTTCTTATTATACTCATTATACTAGTTCTGATCATCGTCCGGTACAATTGTATTTGTGGTTGTTAGGTTCAAGCGGTATGTTCAATCGACTAGTTATAGAAAAATCCTAAGCAGATGTTGAGATTTATTTCTTAACAAAGAGCATGAAACAGATCTTAGTTTTTATTTTTCCTAAAGCGTAAATCGGTAAGATGAATATTTATCAAAGCAGATTGCTTGCGTATGACCAAAATATATTACAAAAGGACTAAGTTTTCATTGATTTAAGAAGAGCTTTAAAGTATATAATAAGAGTTATTTGGTGTATATATATTTATTTTTACTTGACAGCTTAATATCTAAAATAACGTTATGCTGAGGTGGGACGATCGAAAATGTTAAAAAGATGGGTCATACATATATATCATAGTTTATTCGGTGCCTAGTCTTTCCTTCAAGAATCAAAAGTACGTAACATCGGTTTTTCTTCATCTATTGCATTTCAAGGATTTTCTTCTTGAAAACCAAATAAATGCGAGCTTATTTTGACGTTTTGTTGCTTAAAATATTAGGTTCAACAATTGCTGCCAGAGTCTTGTATAGAATGTTGTGTCACGAGCTATAATAGAATATATTCAAAAGGAGTCTCAAGTCATATGATAAGCTGAATTAATCTGTTTTCTAAGTACAAATTTTGTAGCATCTTTTCTCTCTTTCAAATAAAAAAAGAACAGACTTTAGATATGATAGATAGGTGCGATGTAAGGTTCAACAATTTGCACAAAGATTTTTCTATCATGTACTGTTTTCGTTTTCCATTTGCTCTGTCCTTTTTCTTATAATTCATAACTGCTTTTCTGGTTTCAAATGAAATGGTAAAACACACGCCTTTCGACAGCTTGAGAAAGCTATTACAAAAACTGAAAAGATGTTTCCGTCTACATACTTGAAACCTGTTATGGTAAATGGAAAACCAACCGAATCAGACTTGTCATCCGTTGTTACACATACTAATCATATTGGTTTACGACAACATCCTGCACCAAACAATAAAATTCTATTGAATGATGATGCAGATCTTATTGCAGAAAATTATGGTTTGTACAATGTCAATGACTATACAAAAGAACATGAACGAAATATAATATTATGTGATTATGATGGGTACAGATGATAATGACAGAATATACTAATTGCTTATTTCTGTTGTTAGATTTAGTAACACATCCAGAACAATAGGAACAACAATCATACACATCAGTGATAAGCGTTTAACAATTGCTATTGCCACAACTGGTGGAAAACTAATGGAAAATAAGAAGAACTGGGTTAATTGTACTGGATTTAATGGTTCTCACAATCGATTTCTATACATGTCACTTCCAAAATTGATTTACTCAAGACCACAAGAGTAAGGACGCAACAACACAATTATATATACATTTATTCTATTGTTTTGATTCTAGTTTTAAGGTGAATATAATTTTTTTAAAAAATCCATTATTTACTCATCTTTGTGTAATTGTTCATCTGTTTGGAAAGGTTCGGTATGTCTTCCAAATGTCAGAATCTGAACGAACAAAATTTTGTGGTGGTAATTAAGATCAACATAATACAGAAAGATTTTTAACTAGTACTTCGCTTTCATTTTCTACAGCTGTATTCGACCAACCATCAACACCAGTAGATAAAGATGAACAAACACAAACGCAACAAAATCGTTCTGCTATGTTCGGTCTGGAATCTTATTGCTGATTTAGTTGAAACTCAAGATCAAAAACAAAATGAACAACAACAAATAGTAGATTTTTACGCGAAATCTGGAACAACATTTCCTCGTTTAGCTTGTCTAATGCAGCTATATTTTAATGCTATTAATATACTGGAACGTGTAAAAGAAACTGTTGTTTTTGCAGAAGGTGATAATCAAGATATGATTATCAATGAAAATTTCATAACTAGCGCGGAAAATATAATAAAGAAAGATTATTATATAGTATATGATAAAACCTATTTGCCATGTGTTGAAATCAATCAATTAGGAATGGATCCTATAGTTATTGTTGAAAAAGAAGCCGTTATCGCTGCATGGAAGTGGTACGATCATCATCTAAATATTGCTTCTATGCTATTTACAATTGATCATGAATTTTCCGGTAAATCAATCACTCTATCTTCAACAGTTTCATTTAGACCAAAAACACTAAAACAATTGATTATGCTCTTCGACTTTAATAGATTTCCACTATCAGCAATAAGTGCTAAACATCCAGTTACTGGACAAACGTATGTATAATGATTTTCAATTAAAATAAATCACTTTGCTTCCATTATCTTTCTTTCGTAGAGGTATTATCAAAAATAGACCAGCATTAGGTGAACGCGCACTTCAAGAATTAATAAATGATAATTTACTTAAATTTAATTATTTTCTAACTGATGTCCGTGGAAGAAATGTCAAGTCATACATGAAAGTGCCAATACCATCAATTAGTGATCCAACACGAGAACAATTTGTTAACAATTTATTGAAACACGAGATAAATATTGATAAATATTGTTTAAATTATGAAAAAGCTTCAATTCCATTGAATAATTATTTTTCAAAATTAACATTAGAAATTTTTGAATGTACTGCTTCATTTGTAACTCAATATTCAAAATATAGAAGTCAGTTGGGTGCTGTAATACAGAAGCATTTCCAACATCGTTGCATTGAAGAAACAGATGAAGGATGTTTCATTATAAAAAATCACCAAGCATTTTGTCGTGAATCTCATGATATCGAAAACTTGGCTATAGGCGAACGACTAGAACAAATACGCACTAGATCTCGATCAGTGAATTTAATAAACCAACCTACTTCTAAACAGACAGATAAAGCAATAGTACAATCGAAAAGAACAAGAGCTACTGAAATTAGAATTTTTAGCAGTCCAGTTGAACAAAACTGCGAAATACAACATCATAATTTAACAGAAATTCCAGTTGATCGACAAGAGACTGATATAACTAGTAATAGTAATCCTCTAATTTATTAAATTATTGCATTTTCACCCCGTTTATCTTAGAAACATCCACATTTAAAGAACATGATTTATCAAGAGAGTTTAAAAATTCTTCAGTAGCTACACTTTCAAAACAAAGTGATGTTGACGAGCTGTTTTTGAATGATAATATTGATGATGTATCTGCCGGTATATCAACACAACAAACTACCAGGACGGTATTTGTTCATTAATTATTTTTTCTACTAATTGTTTCTTATATTTCTCTGTAGTGGCAAATACATATGAAAAAGCAACATAACAAATGGTCAAAAAAGCAATGCACAATATAATGATTAGTCGGTCAGTGATTTATACAAAAACTGACTTGACCCAAATTTGTAATAAGCTTGTTATACGACTAGAAGCCGTTAAACGTTTAGTTGCGGTTAATTTGCTTCAGCATGGAAATAATTTTTGGATTGAACCAAACCGCACTAAAAAAGAGTCTAACATGATTTCTAAACGTATACTCCGTGAAGGATGGTTAAAGTGATAATCATTTGCAGAAATCTCTATCTGTTTATTAGCAACTTTATATTTGTAGAAAAGGTCCGGACACTTCATCAGATGTATCAAAATTTCGATTTATCCAAGTATTGCAGGAAAACGTAAATAATTGTTTTCACTTCCTTAAAAAGATTCCTTAAATTAATTTAATCTAATTTGTTTTGTAGGTCAACATTACTTACGATGATTATATGAAATCATTTTATCGTCATCAAGTAGAAAACGTATTCACACTCAACAATTAGACCTTATCAGATGAATTAATTGAATTAATTAGGTCTAATTTCTTTTTTACACAACATGTTAGATGGAATATTCCATGTTTTCGACCTTCTGATACGACAAAAGATGTAATAGACGTGGAAAATCAAGTAGAAACATTATCAACACAAGTTCCACATGTGAGCAATTCAGCTGCAATAACAGCAAACAACAATCTACAAGAAATGATACAACAGCAGTCAATTATTAATAACGACGAAGAAGAAAAAACAACACATACTGGATCAACGTCTACATGATCAAAACGAAAAGCTCAGCTTAATGAAGGCTTTCAAGAACACCAAATACTTACTCAACTCAGACGAATAAAGAAAAATTAAATTATTTTACATTTTATACTTTTAAGGATTAAAAATATGCATAACTTTTTTTTTATTGACTTTTATTTATTTTTAACATATTTGTAGTTTTCAAACTGTTTTTGTTTTAATCGACAGTATTTTTAAATCTCCTTTTTAAAAATTAAACGAAGGAAGGAAAGTTTTGTATGCGCCAATCGATATTTAAAAATGGTTTGTAAAACTTCTTTTATCCGTTAAATGATTAAAGATCTTCGATTAATGAATCAACAAGATCTAGTCTCACCGACACATGCACTGGTGCACATTACAGAGGAAGAGCATACCTTAATTTTAATGATGCGAACGATGTGTTTGAACGAAATAATATATGTGATGGCATTGAATAACTTTTTACCAAGAGATATACCAAATAAATACGATGATATTATGAATCTAATTAATTTGAATTTTCAAACATCATATGAAATTCCCACAATAAACACAATAATTGAATTTATTTCTACACAACCACGATACAATCAAATGTTTCAACATCATGCTCTAGCTGAAATTATCCAAAACTACCAGAATACTAGGATAGTTAAGTCTCCTAGTATATATGAGTTGTATTTAAAACCGTTTACAACTCAATGTATTCAATGTAGGAAAGAATTAAAGTCAGTCTTTTCTCATCGCGCAAAGACCGTCCTATCGTTAACAAGAATGTATAAGGCGCGTAAGTAACATTATCCTATGTTTCGTTAATATTCAGGATATCTATATTTTCATCAATAGCTGTTTCCAGTGGTGTATGTAAAGATTGTGATGTTGAAATATTTCCAAATTTTTATATACATAAGAAAAAAAATCATTATGACTGAATCAATAAAAAACGATCGATTCATTTATTTAAGTGGAAATCACACATTCGATCCAAATTTACTGATTGATTTCGACTAACAACTAGTGTAAAATACTATGTCGTTTGAAGGATACACAAAAGCTTATAACTCAAAAATCAAAATGATCAAAGAAAGAGAACATCAACAATCCCTATCTATCATAAACAACAATTACAGCGAGTAAGATTAGGTTTCATCCATGAAAGACACTCATGGTAGTCACTATGAATATTTTCTTTTTTCTGACATTTTTTCTGAAATTTGAAGATTGGTTCTTTTCGTTGAGCTTTTGAAATACGAAATCCACGAGGGCGAGGATGAATATGAATATGGTCTAGAAATATTAAAAGGTTGCTTTGTATTGTCAATCTAGTCGTTTTCTGAAACAGCAATATGAACATATAAATTTCAGACTGCTATTTGTATCGAATTTTATAATTTATTTTTATTTTGGATAGTTTTACGACTATCTCGTTATGAAAATCGACTGTATTACAAACTAAAAGTTTGCAATAGATGCAATTTTGTTATCACTTGTCAAAAATGTGTTCTAGTTTGTCTGCTTCATATGTAAAATATCATGTCTTTCTTTTTGGTATTGCTATTCAATGCACTGCTCTTAATAAAAAATGTAGCATAGTTTGAACAGCCTGGCTTTTTGCTGAGTGTTTTGTATACATTGGATGAACATGAACAAAAAGGGAGGGGGGGGGGGCTTTACTGAGAGTTGACAAATCTTGACAAGAGCCCCAAAATGCGATTTTTACTTGGACGTTGTTTGTAAAGGGTGTGCAACAGACTTCAATTTTCAATATTTCGAAAGTATCCGCATCAATTTTTTCTTAGAATGCTTTTGAATGAGAAATACTTCCAAATGACATTGTTATTAATTAATATAGTTAAGTTTCTTTTCATGACAACAAATGAAAAAATTGTTACGATACCAATGTCGGTACGTGATGTTGATGAATATAATGATTATTTTTTAAAGATTAAGGATGAGCTTTACAATCATTTTGTTGGCTTTTGAACGCAACATCAACGATTTACGAAAAGATGTGATGCAGCCGCATGTTCAAAAGTCTTCATCGTTGATGGACATCAAAAAGCGAATCGGCTTGTAAGGTCAGTACAAAGATGTTTTTGATAATAGCGTATCCGAACTTGGACCAGTTCAAATGGGATGCTTATATTCTCCGTTGAGAAAAGGTACACTCAGGAGTGTGAGCCATGTTTTCTTCGAATTATATTTGATTTTTATAGCTCCTAACGTGGATCATAGGCATTGTCAACATCATCAAACAACAGGAGAATCATCAATGCCTGACACGTCCATCACAATGCCTGCGATGTTTTAGGAGAATAAAGAGGCAACGTTAGACAAATTAGCATTAGCAGAATATATAGATAAAGATGGTCATTACGATGATGCCTTATGTAATGTTTTCAGATCTGGTATAAGCAGTAAGTCGAAAATCAGTTCATATGGCTTTTTAGCAACATTTTTGAAATGTTCAGTGATCGTTGGATTTACTGAACAACCATGCTCAGAAGGAAGTGTGGGTAGAAGTTTTCACCTTAATCCTATTTATATATAACATATTTCATTATTTTGAAAACCTAGTGCGACGAGACATTCATCATATCCTCACCATATTGCGATTTGGTCAATTACCAACAGCAATGTGTTACGATTGCGCATGCACGTGGAAGTTATTCATCAATAGACATTTTGGCTCAAAGGAATTAAAGTCAGCAAAGTCTACCCAGTTTCTTACATCATTAACAATGGCAATAGATCGATTCCACGGGAAAAACCACAAAAGACCTATGTGCAAAACAATAATGAAGCCTGATCATCCATGTCATAATAATATTTATGAATCTATTAATACACAAGTTGCTGAACAGATGTTTTCTTACTTATCAAAATTCAAACATTCCTTTAAGGGATACAATTATCCGAAATCGACAATTTTTTTTACAATTCTTTTCCATTTAAAAAACTGCACAACTACCTGTATTAATTCGTTTGAACAAGCAGTCTAAAACTTTCTCGAATGTATATTTCTGATTTTAAACACTTTTTATTAGCTCTTTTTATCTCACTTTTTATACATCAGTCTTAACCATTTGTAATGTCTCGATAAAAATCCCGCTCCAGCCAATTCCATAAATATATTGCTTAAAGTCTTTCTGTGTTCGTACATTCTAGTTCATAGAATGTAGAAATGGTAGTAAATTTAAGAGGCCCCCGTTGTTTTGATCAAACTAACTAGAAGATCGGTCACCAACTTGTATTTAACTTCTGTTTTGAAATTTTAAAACAGAAGCCAAGTAGATATATGATGTCTGATTTCTGGCTGATTTAATATATAAAGTGGGTAGATGTCTGATTTCTGATTTCTCGCTGCATTTAATAAATACTGTAGAATTTTTCTATATTGTCACCTATTTTTACAATACTGATGTTTCAGAGTACTTAATTTTTATTAAATTTTTCATAACTTCTATGCGCCTTTTTAGCTAACAGCAATTTTAAAATTCTCATAATTTAAAATTTTCAAAATTTTGACACGCAGGTTTTAAAATTGGTACCAATTCGAGATTTGCCACTTTATGGTGGATGGAGTTACACTTTATTTCGTTCCCTCATATCATGAATCGCACTGCTTGCATAGAAAGCATGTGCTTATATACGCACTGTGAAGAGAGGACAGAGAAGCAAGGATACAATCTTTGAAGGATATACAAGGACAAATCCGAAGGGCTTGACAACAACAACAGAAACGCAAGGACATAAAATATACTCTCGTGTGTTGTTACAGTCAGTCAATAACGTTGCTTTTTATAATGTAAATACTAGACGGCGTGGTGATTCTTTTCATATCCAAATGTTAAAAAAGTCTATATTTTGACTATCTTTGATCAAAAAAGCAACTGTACGAATAATTTTTGCCGCAACTGTATATATCGATTTCGTTTTTGTGCAAACTATCTTTCTTCCAACGAATGACTT